TCTTACTCCTCACTTTAAATGTTTAATTAGGGATAGTTTAGTCATAATAGGTATTATTGTATGGAATTTAGTATTTTCTTAATGGGCATGATAAAAGTAAATTGGATACTTATTGTGAACCGGAGGGAGTAGCAGTTTCTACTAGGAGTAGTACTATATTGGTCTCTTGCTTTTGTGTTGCCACGTTTGACTTCATTTGATTAAAAAAACGTGTCGTTTTCTCAGTGGGAACAAACGAGGTAAATGGCGTCACTACTAAAAAATGCGTGGTTGGGCGGTATGACTGTTTGTAAGATTTGTACCTTCAAAACGAGAGAACATTATCAATTTCCGTGTACAAAATATTTACACCACATACACTACTTTAATTTTAAGGGTAGGGGTGTGTATTCGAATCGATTTATCGATAAATTAAATCGATTATTTGTTATCGAAATCGAAATCGAAAAAATCGGAACTTTATTGAAACGATAACGATAAGCATATGTACAAATCGATAATCAATAAATAATTATCTATAAGGGTCAAAATCGAATCGATAAATCGAATGCACACCCCTAGACTATGGACACTTGTTAAATGAGTAATTACCTATTTGTGTAGATTAATATAACATACATAATGTATATATATTCCGCTACTATTTTGAAAGCGGCTATACAATATTATTTTCCCTAATCTATACCTTTTCCTTTACCCTAAATCTCTTACCCTATTATTTCCTCTACCACATTTAAGGAACGATCATATTTAAAGATCAAGGGAATGAAGTTCAAATTAATGGAAAACAGAATTAGCCGTGATGATGTGTTTTGTTTTGTTTTGTTTTTTTATACCGTTGGAGTGTTGGTGGTATACATTTGTGCTTGTTGACATAATTTTTATATTATAAATGTTGTTCGTCTTATTTTAGCTTCTTTTTGTCCATATTAGTTAGGCGCGTTTACAGCGATACACTTTCCGTGGAATCCCGCAAAATTTCTTATTGGTGTAATCGATAACTGAATCGATACGCCCCCAAAATCGATAAATCGAAATCGAAAAAATCGAAACCTTATTGAAACGATAACGATAAGCATATGTACAAATCGATAATTGATAAGTAATTATCGATAAGGGTCAAAATCGAATCGATAAATCGAATGCACACCCCTATTTAAGGGGGTCGTTTGGTACGATGAATAATCACCAATAATTTCGAGACAACAATTTAGTATTGTTTTATTCTTTGTTTGGTTACTTATTATGGGATAAGTTATTCTATAATTAAAAATAATATCGAGATAATTTATACTTCCTCCGTTTCAGTTTATGTTAACCTATTTCCTTTTTGGTCCGTTCCAAAAAGAATGACCCCTATCTAAATTTAGAAACAATTTAGCTTAAACTTACAATTCTACCCCTAATGAGAAGCTTTTATAACCACACAAATACTCTGGGCCCCTTTTTGATTTGTTTAGGACCACAAATTCCAAAAGTCTTCATTTTTTCTTAAACTCCGTGCCCAGTCAAACAAGTTCATATAAATTGGAACGGAGGGAGTACTTGTTAGTGGGTAGAATAGTAATCCCAAGAAAAGTTATCTTATGATAAAATAGTAAAATTGACAATCATAGAATTAATATAGCAATACCAAATAGACAATAATAAATAATACCAAAATAACTAATCTTAACATAACTAATCCCAGTGTAACTTGTCTTCAACCAAAACGACTCCTAATAAGTAAGACTAATAAATCTAAATGAGCATATATAATATTTATATTGTACTCTTTCCGTTCCAGTTTATGTGAACCTATTTCCTTTTTGGCCCATTCCAAAAAGAATGACCCCTTTTTAAATTTGAAAATAATTTAGCTTAAACTTCCAATTCTACCCTTAATGAGAAGCTTTTATAACCACACAAATACACTGGACCCCTTTTTGATCTGTCTAGGATCATAAATTCTAAAATTCTTTATTTTTTTTTAAACTCCGTGCCGAATCGAAAAGATTTACATAAATTGGAACGGGGGAATCTTAATCATAATGAAATTTTAAATAGAAAAATATATTTTGCATTAATTCATTTGGTTTAAATATCCAATGCGTTCATATTCCCTTTTTCTCTTTGCTATATTCGTGTCAGTAGTCTTGCAGTTAGGTCGGCTAATCACCGAGATTCCGATCCAAGAAACAAAAAGGAAAAAGAGAGACAAAAGCCGAGACCGGACCAAGATATTTGGTAAAAATAGCACAGTATAGTCAATTTTCGGACTAATCAATCAAAAATAGCCAGCGTTTATCAAGTCAATGAAAAATACCTATCGTTTTGCTGCAATAGAGACCGGTCTAGCATAATATACTGGAGTTCGGTGCACTTGTGTATGAACTCCAGCATATTATGCTGGACCGATATACTTTGCTGGCTCCAGTATAATATACTGCAGACTGGAGGACTTGAGCTCCAAACTCCAGTATATTATACTGGACCAATATACTTGCTGGAACTCCAGTATATTATGCTGGAGTTCTAGTGTACTTATGCTGCAACTCCATCATACTATGCTGGAGTTCCAACATACTATCCTGGAACTCTAGTATAATATGCTGGAGTTCAAGTATACTTATGCTGGAACTCCAGCATAATATACTGGAGTATTTTCCGGGTTTTGAATAGTATTTTCGCTCGGATTTATCTTTACATAAAAAGTAGCTAAATTTCGATTACTTTTGAAATTGGACTATTTTTGAACGACCAATTGTAAATCTGGCTATTTTTAAATTTTTCCCAGATATTTGTATCTTTTGACGGATAGAAGCGGAAATTAATGAGGTTATGTTATTATAAGAGCCTTTCCGTATGTCGGCATGGGCCTCAGTCACGTGGTTTATCCATTTTAGGATGGATTTTTATCAAAATAATAATGAGATTCTTTATGTTTAGCACAACGTACTATGCAAAATTTTGTGTAAATAATGTCATCTATTGTCACAATTCGATTTATAAGTGATTTAAATATATAATTATATTAATTTTGGGGGTTTACTTCCTATCACAAATAGATGTTTATTTCGTATGAATTCCCGTAGTTATTGCAACAACAATATATTCGGTGTAATTCACAGGTGGGGTACAAGAAATGTAGTATATGTGCAGATCTTATTTTTACCTTGTGAAGATAGAAAAACTATTGCCGATAAACCTCGGCTCAAGGAAAGCATGAACACAACAAGATATATGATAATTGAAGCACAAGAAACAACACACAATACAAGAATTCTAAGAGTTCCATTAGCTATTGCGTATATACATCATGTTTGTAGAAAAATATTATTTGTTCGTGCAAAAGATAGCCTCCGGTGTAGAGGCATGCAGACACTACTATTTCTTGATCATGATCATAACATTCCCATACGACAACAACTAATAGCATGTTTGACCAAGCTTCTTCAAATTTAAAAGTACTTTTTTCCCTAAAAAAAAGTATTTTTTTTAAAGTTGAAGTGTTTGGTCAAGCTTTGAGAAGAAAAAAAAGCGCTTTTGAGTAGAAGCAGAAGCAATTTTAGAGAAGGAGAAAAAAGTAACTTCTCTTCAAAAGCACTTTTGAGAAAAATACACTTAAAAACACTTTTTAGAAGCTTAGCCAAACACTAATTGTTGTTCAGAAGTGCTTTTCAAATTAATTAGCCAAACACAAACTACTTCTCATCAAAAGTACTTTTGAAAAAAATACTTTTCAAAGTAAGCTGATTTTTGAAGTTTGCCAAACAGGCTATAAAATCCCAGTGTAATCTTACAAGTAAGTTCTGGGGAGGATAGTGTGTACGCAGATATCCCTTACCTTGTGAAAACAGATAGGTTATTTCCAAGACCTTCGGCTCAAGAAAAGCATAACTACAACAGTGTTAAAAAGCAATACAATTTTGGAGACGCTATGAAAAAGTAAGAAGTAATAACAACAAAGTAATAAGATAACTAAAGCAAAAGAAACTTCGGAACATTCCATTGTTTACCAAAATTACTTGGAATCAGGAATACTAATCGGAGCCGGCTTTTATGCCTTTTTATTCTAAGATTGATCAATAATCATGCAAAATACACCAAATTTTTCCGTGTCACAATCACTGATGTCACCGTGATGCTAGTGCATAATGTTAGATAGTTTTGTACATAACACGAATTAGTCATAGTCTCACGTAGAATATGAGTATGTTATGTATTGTATAAATAGGGCTCATCGTATTATAGTTAAACAAAATATCAATAATAGATTTTTCTTTCGTCCATTCTCATATAGTATCAGAGCAACCATGAGAAATTTATCGTTGTGCATAAATTTAAGCGACTCCGGAAAGAGAAAAAAGTCATCTGGAAGCCCTTTTACCGGCAAAATTAGGTCTGTCCGCAAGAGCAATAATATATGTCAGTGTTTTGCAAAAACCAACATCATCAGGAATTAGATTAGAGCTCGGCGACCAACTCTTAAAAAAATCTCCGACAGAAAAGGTTGCACACGCCCTCACGTGTCACCGGAAGAATTTCTCCAGCGAAGTTCCGGCGTCCACGCGCCGGCTCGTGAGGCTGTTTCCGGCTAGATTTTGGGAAAGCTTCTTCAGGACAACGCTTCTCCTCGCAAGTTCGAGCCTACCCATCCAATTTAAATCAAATTCCAACCACTTTTATATTTTTCTAGCGTGAACAGTAATTTCCATTTTTTTTTTGCTTTTTCCAGCGCAATATTATAATGGCATTCGTATCTGAAGCCTTTAACTCACAATCCGTTGGATCCAATCCATACTTTATCGGATTATATTGAGTTCCTTCAGTACAATTCATGTAAACAGACATCTTCAGGGATAACTTCCGTTGTTCAAACAGATAGTAGTGTGACTTGTGTCTCCCAGTCTTCAACCTATGAGTCTTGGATCATTGATTCAGGTGCATCTGATCACATTTCTAGTAACAAATATATTTTCACTACTATTTTAAGTTCTCAATCTCTCTTAACAGTCACAATGGCTAACGAGCCTCAAACCATGGCAACTGAAATAGGTCAAGCAAGTCCACTTCCTTTCTTATCTTTAAATTCAGTTATTTATGTTCCCGGTAGTCCTTTTAATCTCATAGTCATTAGTCGCTTAGCCAAATCACTTAAATGCTCTATTTTAATTCTTGATGACCTTATTTTTATACAGGAATGCAGTACAAGACGGATCGTTGGTACCGAGTGTGAATTACATGGACATTATTACCTTATCCTTGCAAAATCACATGGACTCACATCTTGTCTTACTTCAACAACTTGTCCTGTCACTGATTCACCAGATTCATTATATAAACGGTTGGGACATCCTAGTTAGTCAAAACTTCAGAAAATGGTAACTGGTTTATCTCACTTGTCCACTCTAGAGTGTGAGTCATGTCAGCTCGGTAAGCATACCCGCTCCCATTTCCCTCGGCGTCTTGATAATCGAGTAGAGTCACCTTTTACTTTAGTCTATTCAGATGTTTGGGGTCATAGTCAGATCAATTCTACCTTGGGATTCTACTACTTTGTTAGTTTCATTGATGATTATTCTAGGTGCACTTGGATATTTTTAATGAAAAATTGATCTGAGTTGTTTTCTATTTTTCAGACCTTCCATGCTGAAATTTAAAATCAATTTGGGGTTTATATTCGCACATTTCGTAGTAATGATGCTCTAGAGTATTTGTCTTCCCCATTTCAGCAGTTTATGAACTCTCATATTATTCATCAAATGTCTTATCCGTACACATCCCAAAAAATTAGGGTAGTTGAAAGAAAGAATAGACATCTTATTGCAATTCCTCGTACCCTACAAATACAATCTCATGTTCCGTTGCGTTTTTAGGGGGATGCAGTTTTTACATCTTGCTATCTTATTATTCGTATGCCATCTTCAGCTATCCAGAATTAAGTTCAATTCTCTATCTTGTTTCCCCACTTACCTTTTTTTTCTCTTCCATCCTGTGTCTTTAGAAGCACGTGCTTTATTCATAACCTTACTCGAGGAAAAGATAAGTTAGATCATCGTGCTCTTAAGTGCGTATTTTGGGTTACTCAAGAATGCAAAAGGGATATCGATGCTATTCTCTTGATCTCAGGCGGTACCTTATGTCTGTTGATGTTACCTTCTTTGAAACCTAATCTTACTTAACAAGTCCAGGTAATCACTTAGATATTTCTGAGGTGCTACCGGTTCCATCTTTTGGAGATTCAGTCACTATCTCCCATTCCTTTTCCTCTGACTCCATCTTCACCACCTACAACTCCAGCTCCAGCTTCACCACCTACAGCTCTTGTTCCACCGCATATAGCTCCAGTTCCACCTCCTAGTCCAGTTCAACCTTCTACAGCTCCACCACTCCTGACTTATCATCATTGTCCACGGCCAACATCAAGCCCAGCTGATTTACGTCCTGCACCTGACCCTGCTAATACTACGGACTTCTCTCCTCTTAGTCAACCGATTGCACTCCGGAAAGGTATACGGTCCATACTTAATATTAATCCCCATTATGTCGGTTTAAGCTGTCATCACCCCACTGTGCATTTGTATCATCTTTGTCCTTTGTTTCCATCGCTAAGTCTACAGCTGAAGCACTGTCTCATCCAGGGAGGCGACATGCTATAATTGATGAGATGTCTGCATTACATACGAGTGGTAATTGGGAGCTTGTTCCTATTTCGTCGGGTAAATCGACTGTTGGTTGTCGTTGGGTGTATGCAATCAAAGTTAGTCTAGATGGCTACGTTGATCGACTTAAGGCTCGTCTTGTTGCCAAAGGGTATACTCAGATATTTGGGCTCAATTATAGTGATACTTTCTCTCCTGTGGCTAAAATAGCATCAGTACACCTTTTTCTATCCATGGCTGTTGTTCGCCATTGACCTCTCTATAGATTAGATTTTGAGAATGCTTTCCTTCACGGTGACTTTAAGGATAAGGTTTATATGGAGTAACCACATGATTTTGTTGCTTAGGGGGAGTCTAGTGGCCTTGTATTTCGGTTGCGTCGGTCCCTCTACGGTCTAAAGTGTGAGCACGTGATTTTTTCCCTATATGAATTACTCCCATAATTCAAAACAAAATAATTTCTTTCAATGTTTGCAATTTTGTGGATTTTTCATGGCATTTTCTGTTAATTGTTTGCATTTTGTCTGTGCATTTTAATTAGTAAAAAATATACAAAAAATGTGCATTTGCATTTAGGAGTTAATCTCGCATTTTAGGGGTTAATTAGTAAGTTAGTTATTTTATAAGAAATGGAAAAATCACAAAAATGGCCCATTTTTGCATTTTTAGCCTCTTCATATTAAATTAGTAATTTCTTCTTTTAATGTAGGAGTAATTAATTTTCATAAATATCTTAGTGGGTAATTAACTTAATTTTACAGCTTATTTTAATTTAAGAGTTTATTTTAGTTTTTTTTAATTAATTAAAAAGGGAGAAAAGAAAAAAAACAAATGAAAAAAAGAGAAAGGGAGTGGGGATTTGATCTTGAAGACCAATTTGGGCCAAAATCCAAACAAAATCCCGGCCCAAATCTCACCACTCATCCGCCGACCCGCCCAACCTGCCTGCTGACCCGACCCGTCCCAAATTATAACACAAAATATCCAGAGCCCTAATCTCTTGAGCTCAAGCGACGCAGCCACTATTCCTCTTCTCCAAACAACCAAATCAGACCCTAAAATCACTCAAAATCTATGGCGAGTGAACACCAAGCTCGTACTTCGCGTTTCCCCTCTCTCCTCCTACCATATTACAACCGTTTCTGACAGATTCCCCCTCCCTCACATGCTCTCTTTGATTTATTGCGGATTTTTCACCCTTCAGATGAAAATGAGGAAAAATGGGGAGCGTTAGATCAGATTCAAGTTGATCTATTCCCTCCATTTGTCCCCTTTGCATCAGAAAAGGGATAAAATTAGTTTTGGGAGAGGATTTCTTGGCTCGGAAGATTTCTGGAAGGGGAATAGAAGGTTCGAGATTCATGAGGGGTTATGTAAGGTGAGGTCATTTTCTTGTGTAAGGAGGATTTTTTCAGAGAGAGGATTGAGAGAAAAATTCTAAGGTTCTAAAGAGTGAAATTTCTGATTTCTATTTTTTTTCTTCTGATTTCTATTTTTTTTCTTCTGATTTCTTGTGTTCGTTTGATTGATACAGAACCTTCGTTTTGGATTTTCTTTTAGTTTCAATTCCAAAAAAAATAAAAAAAAAAAATATATACAAAAAGAGATATAGTGGTTCGATTTCTCTTGCACCTTTACTCCTTCATTTTATTTTGCTCTGGATTACAGGTGTCGAGTATGTAGTTCGAGTGAGTCGTTTGTCGACTCGAGTTCCAATCGAGGCTCGTTCGTGGTTGCTAGTTGCTGTTTCTTGGCTGCTGTGTGCTTCAGATTTTCACCGCCGAAGTTCTTTGTATTTCTACTCCTGAAATTAATTGAAGTTTTGAGCATTCAGGTTTATTTCCTCTCCTGTACTACTTTGTTTAGATGGTTTAAAATATGGTTAGGATATTCAGTCTTGGTTGAGCTAAGATTTATGTGATGTCAATGTGATAAGCCGCATTTTGATAAACTTTATAGCTAGTAAAGCATGAATCTGCGACGCCTTTTATTCTTCAATGCTTGCTGTTTTCCATTAGTTTTACTTTGTTTGGTTAAAACATGATTAGTTGTGAAGCGATTAGCTGAATTTCAATCTAGTGACATGTTCTTCGTGATCTTTTATGAATGTTTAGTTTGCCCTTCTCAGCTGGAGCTCGAAATAGTGCTGAAACGAGTGGTGTTTCCTGCTTAGTGAAGATTCAGTCTATGTGCCTGATGCTCTAAATTGGTTGCTTCCCCTTACCCTGTTTATGTCCTTGTTCTAACTGATAGTCCTATTTGATTGTTGTTCTTCCCTTGAATAGAATCTGCTGACATCTCTTCTCAACTTGATTAGTTTAGTCTTGCTTTCCCTTTGTGATTTAGAGTCGTAATAGTAAAGGAGAAAAAAGAACAATTGGTGTTGGAATTCATGTGTCAAAAGCTAGAGCAATTGTGAACATTAACCATTTGGTATAGATCCTATGTGTTTGAGTTGATATTTTTGTAAACCTGAAAGTTTAAGCTTCAAGTTATACCTTTCTATTGCTGAATCTATCCTAATTTCTGGCTATGTTTTACATTTGAAATTATGAGAACATTGGTTCAGGAACTTGGTATCCACTGATTGTCTGCTTTACTCCCCGTTCGTTGTGTTCGAACTGTGAGTGTGTCACCGACTTGAGGATCCATTCCAGTCCTTTGTATGCTCGTCCTGCTGTACTCAGCATGAGCCATAAGGTTCAGGGCTTGTTTAATGGTTCAGGAAACCATCAAGTTGTACTGGGAATGTGTAGTTGGTCCAGGATGACCCTTATTGTTAGCCTTGATGTTTTCTGTTTGGAAATTCAACATATAGCTAGTCATTGGTTGTGTTAAGCCTAACCTCAATTCAATTTGTTCAAGTATCTTGATGAAAATTGGTCCATTGGAGATTTTTGTGCTAATTATAGACTAATACCTATCCTGGATTCTTTGATTTAGTTGCTGAATTCCATTTCTTCTGATAAGTTGAGTTAGTTTTGGTATCAAGGAGACGTGATTCTCATTAAATTCAGAATGCCAGTCCACTTGGTCGCAATTTTGAGATTTTTGCTTCGTCCTACCTATACTTTGTCTGTGATGGGAATGAATGATTAATGACTAATCACTTGGGCTCTATGTGGTGCAATAAGCAGATCTCTCTGTGCAATAAGCAGACCTCTCTGTGCAATAAGCTTAAGTCAAAGAGCATAAGCTTCTCGTATTTTACATGGAACCAGATGGTCTTTGAAGAATAGGAATAAATCCTTTCTGTAATGGAAATCTGTTCTCAACCATGAAATTGCCTATACTGTCTTCCAGTTTTGTTGTTCTACTCATTTCATGAATTCCTTTGTTTGAAGTTAGTTAAATTTGGATGAATTTGCCAGACTATGCAATGTCATTGCACTGAAATGTAAAGAGAAAGATTCAGTGAGCCTACTTTCCCCTATCATTGTGATTGTGTATACGTTCGCGTAACATCATCACAATTCTAAAATCAATTTGGAGTATACGTTCGCGCAACTCCGATCAAACTTTCCTAGTAATAAAAATAGGTTTTCGTGGGCTATTAATTGGTTTTTCTGTAGCCCTCGTATTAGCTTTATAACCTAGATATTAAAAATGACTAATATTTCGTAGAATATCCTTTAGGGCCGTTTAAAATACTATCGTGGTTGTGTATACGTTCGCGTAACATGATTGCGATTCTAAAAATAAAACCGCAGTATGCGTTCGCGCAACTTCGGCCCAAAACTCTCTTAATAATAATAAAGCGTCATTAATTGTGGACACGTTCGCGTGACATAATTTTTGACGCGCCAAACAAGCGGGTATATGTACGCGTAACCTGTTTTAAGATAATTTTCTTAATTAAAAGCGGTGAAAGAAGTAAATGCACATAGGTTTTAAAATCAGTAATTAAACAATTTTAGTAAGCCAAGTATTATCAAAGCGACCGTGCTAGAACCACGGAACTCGGGAGTGCCTAACACCTTCTCTCGGGTTAACAGAATTCCTTACCCGGATTTCTGATTCGCAGACTGTATAACAAAGTCAAACCCTTTCCTCGATTCGGGATTTAAATCGGTGACTTGGGACCATAAATCTCCCAAGTGGCGACTCTGAATCTTTAATAAAAGAATCCCGTTTCGATTGTCACTTCAAGTTGGAAATAACTCCCTATATTATACCCCTTGCCGGGGGTGTAGTAGTAAAAAGGAGGTGTGAGAGCTCTGGCGACTCTGCTGGGGACTAAAACCCAGAACTTTTGTTCAGGGTTCAAGAATTCGAGCTTGTTTTATGATTTTTACTCGGCTTATTTATTATTGATATTATTGCATTATGTGAACCTTTGTGCTAAATGCTATCTGTTTACCGCTTTAATATTGTTGCATTGTATATAATTGTCTTCTTACGCCACCCCTTTAGTTTTTTTTTTGAAATTGGTGCATACGTTCGCGTAGCCCGCTTTTTCTAGAAAATATACCAAATAGAGCGAGGCTGGGCAAGCGATAAGGCCGGGCAGACTTCAGTGCTCCCGGTACGTCGCCCCTTCCTCGGCCCCAGTTGTCCGCTCGGGTACCCCAAGTCTAGACCAAAACCCCAGGTTTTTTAAACCTAGAAGAACACAGCCTCATGTCGGATCCCTAGTAGGAGCGCTTGTTTGCATCACGTGCATTTTGGCTTAGGGGACTCAACACAGGGGTTGGGTCCGTCTAGGACAGGTGTACCCCAAAATAACAGACCATCATGATGCATCCTATGTGCTATGTGAACATTCATTTATTTTGGCTTGCATGCTGACCGGCTAAATAAGAAAAGAAGAGTGAGGAAAAATCATAGAAAAACAAGAAGAGGGGAAAAAGACCAAGAGTGATGTAGGAAAGAAGAAAACCCGGTTCTGAAGAAAACCCAATGCTTGAAAATACCCCGAAAACTCTGCCGATTTTTTTTTTTACAAAAAAAAAATAGTCATTTCAATGTCAAGTTGGCCGAACTACGCGGGTCCGATTCCCATCGGATATGGGATACGTAGGCAACCTACATAAGGTCCGGCCTTATTTTGAAAAAGAAAAGAAAAAAAAGAGAGAGAAGCGAGGGAGTCAAACAAATGCAGTCAGTCAAAATAAGCTGATTCAGTGTCGGTAGTGTTTTAAACCATTCTTACCGAGATAGCCTTAGAATATTCTTCCGTTGTCGAAGGGCTACCTCGTAATCGAATGGGCAAAGTTGAGAAGTGTCACAAAATAAGCCTCCCCCGGCCTCAAAATTCATGTGGAATTGGGAAGGGGCCATATTTGCAAAGCTAGCCTTTTGGCTAAAATTGGCATATCAAGGAAGGGATCATGGTCTTTTGTTTTAAAACTAGAAACTTTCTTTCAAAAAAGGTCCATTAGAGTCAACCCTAACCCCACCTTTCTACAGGAACAAATGAATATTATCCAGGATCCGCCAGAAGTGGTCAGGGGGCAGGCTCGAGTACATTTGCGCATGTGGTGGAATGATTTGGATCAAGATGGTCAGAAATGGGTAAGAAAACAATTGGGCGCTCTTATAGACATTTGGGAGATCAAACCACGAGACGATCTGATCAAGGCTATGATAACTTTCTGCGACCCTGCTCGTAATGTTTTTCGCTTCTCAGACTTTGAGATTACCCCTACTATGGAGGAGATAGCCGGGTACATTGAGTTTGGACGAGATTTGAGGAAGCAACAACTTATATTTCCAAGGGCTCCGTCAGTGCACAAGTTTTTTGACCTCCTGAATATCAGTAAACAGACAAGCAAGAACCGTGTAAGCGAAGGGTGTTGTGCTTTCCACTTTTTGTACTTCAGGTTTGGGCACTCTTCTGGTTTTGAGGCACATGAAAAGGGGTTGTGCAACAAACAAGATAAGGGTCTTTGACAACTTCATCGCCGGTTTGCATTTATCGTGGCGTTTTTGGGGATAATGGTTTTTCCGAATGAGAAGGGGACAGTGGATATACGTATGGCTAGAATTGCACAAATCCTCACTACCATGAAAGATCATACACTTGCCCCGTTGATATTGGCGGATATTTATCGTGCATTGACTTTGTGCAAAGCCGGGGCCAAGTTCTTCGAAGGTTGCAATATCCTCCTACAAATGTGGATGATCGAGCATCTTCGCCACCATCCCAGATTCATGAGTTATGGCTCGAGCCCAAATAACTTCATCACCAGTTATGAAGAGAGGGTCAAGGATTACAATGTGCCGAAAGGGTTTGAAGCATGGGTGTCTCATTTGAAAGCTCTCAAAGCAAGTCAAATTGAGTGGTCCATAGGATGGCTCCCAAAGACGGAGGCTATATACATGACTGCAACCAAAGGCTACCTGAGGATAATGGGTGTAAGGAGTATTCAGC